TTTTTTTTTTTTTTTTTTTTTTTTTTTTTTTTTTTTTTTTTTTTTTTTTTTTTTTTAGTGACCCCTTTGTTTGACTTTTGCCCCATCATTCTTCGCTTTCTATTTGGTTGGCTGTAGGCCATGCCTTCAGTTTGCTGTCAGGCTGAAGCCGTGTATACTTTCGAACTCTGATGAACTTGTTAAAAGATTGGGTTCTCTTGAGAACCGTAGAACATTTTTCTCCTCTCTTAAAAAATGTAGAAGGAAACAAGGAAAGATGGAAAGAAGAAGGAAAGAAGGCAAGAAAGAGTGCCTCTCTTGTGGCTAAATTCAGCACACATGTAGCTCTTCATAAATGGATGAATACTTCATTCAGATCCTGATGGATACAATAATTATGTGGCCTACCCTTTTGTGGGTGAGAAGAAAAAGGAAGGAAAGGAAGGGAAAAAGGAAGGAAAGGAAGGAAAAAACGAAGGAAAGGAAGGAAAAAAGGAAGGAAAGGAAGGAAAAAAGGAAGGAAAGGAAGGAGAGAAGGAAGGAAGAAAGTACACGTTAGAAACTGACGAGTCCAAATGAAGGAAAGGAAGGAAAGTAAGGAAAGGAAGGAAAGGAAATGAAGGAAAGATGGGAAAACAAGGAAAACAAGCAAAGGAAGGAAAGGAAGGAAAAGAAGGAAAGGAAAGAAGGAAGGGAAGGAAGAAAGAACACATTAGAAAAAGTTAACGAGTCCAACTGAAGCGGGAAAGAACACATAAGAAATTGACGAGTCCAAATGAATGAAGAAAGAACACATTAGGAATTGACAACCTCTTAGACTAAACTAGATAAAGGCGTAACCTTTGCTTCGAGACTTCATCTGATCAAAGAAATCGGAAACCACCTCTCCAAGGGGAACCTCATACACGATTGATGCTATACTAGGTGTGATGTACTTAAGTTCCTTGAAGTCTCCTCTCCTATTCTGTGTGAGCTCCATGAGTGTTCCTATGTAGTCCTTGGGGGGCAATGACTTCCAATCGCACGTAAGGTTCTTCGATAAACTGACGTTTGCCAGCATCGGGTAGCGCAGCGGGGTTATCGACCTCGATGACGTCACCACTGGTTGTGTGCGCCCTATACACGACCCTGGGAGCCGTGGTGATGAGATGCACATTCTACTCCCTTTCGAGTCTTTCCTGTATGATCTTCATGTGAAGAATGCCCAGAATCCGCAGCGGAACCGAAACCCATGGCACTGGAAGTCTCTGGCTCTTGAGAGCCGCATCATTCAGCTGCAGGTTCTCGAATGCTTCCCGCAACTCCGGAAATTGGTCCGCTTCGATAGGGAAGAGACCACAGAAGACCATAGGGGTTGCTTTCTCATACCCTGGCAACATCTTCGCTGCCTTCCTTCCGTCATGAGTGATTTTTGTATCTCGCCGACACGAGCATCAGCAACTGAACGGAAGGAGGCCGCGATATGGCCCACTTCGCCGGCATTGAGCTCATCCATTGTGTACTCTTTCCCACTCTCCATGAACCGGATCTTGTCGCCTGTATGCATATCCCCGTCAATGATAGGAAAGTACAGAATCACCCCCTGTACGAATCGTAATAGCTGTCAAAGATCAGGGCACGGAGTGGTTCATCCACAGTTTCTGGAGGAGAAGGAACCTTCTTGACCACTGCCTCCAAAGTCTCATTGACCCCGATCCCTTCTTTCACAGATCACAGGATTGCCTCGCTGCAGTTGAGACCAATTATCTCCTCAATCTCTTCTCGTACGCAATCGGGATCTGCACCGGGCAAATCTATCTTATTAAGAACCGGAATGATCTCGAGATTGTTCTCCAAGGCGACGTAAACATTGACAACCATCTGAGCGTCAACTCCCTGAGAAGCATCCACCACCGGAAGTGCGCCCTCGCACGCAACAAGCGAGTGTGACACTTCGTACGAGAAGTCCACGTGACCAGGCGTATCAATCAGGTTGAGACAGTAGACTTGGCCATGCTTGGCGACGTGCTGCATTCACGCAGCCTGCAGTTTGATGGTGATGCCTCGCTCCCTCTCGAGGTCCATATTATCCAGAAACTGCTCCTTCGTTTCCCATTGTTCGACCGTTCCCGTCTGTTGCAGCAACCTGTCTGCCAAAGTAGATTTGCCATGATCAATATGAGCAATGATGGAGAAGTTTCGGATCCGCGACACAGGAACCTTCGCAACACGGCCCTGGTCTTTCAGCTCCTTCATCCCCACTGCCTTTTGTTCACCAGTCTTTGGAGGGGAGTCGCTAATTTTTTTATCCTGCGCCTGTGTTTGCGCTTTACAGGCAAAGAGCCGTCTCCGCTGCACAGTCTTGGTGTTGGCAGAAGTCCTAGGGACCACTGTTCCATGTGACGGAATCTGGCGGTCCAGATCGACATTTAAAACTCGGTTTTGCAGAGGTTCGGCCTTGTCCACAAGCGAGCTGTGTGTTGCTGAGACCTATGGGCACACTGACGATATTCCCATGACAACAATGTGGGCTGAAGGCGCCGAACAATGCTGCGTCAAGAATGTGGTTCGACTGAAGAACCTGGACCTTGGCATGGGCCGAGGGTGGAGGGTGCAGAGTTGCTAAGGTGATGAGGCACTCTCTGTTGTTGGTTTCGTAAGAGCAGTGACTTGGTAGGCCACATGGGATCCGGTACCAACAAGAGAGCATGTACATGGCCGCGAAACAACGATGCAGCATGCCATCTATTCACGTTGTTAAAGAAAGGCACCTCGAGTACTGATGGATACAGCGTGACCTGGCCTAATCCACACTTTGTGGTTAAAAATAGCTACTACACGTATGTATCATACCAACCCCGGCTAACATCCACGCTGCTCTTGCAGGATCTGCAAAACAACAGGAACCAATCCCAAAAGGTTAACTTGCTACACTTATTCTTCATTTATCCGCATGTGTCTTATAGAGGTCTTTTCGTAAAGACTGAAGAAAACATTGCTCAAACAAACAGGAAAAGGAAAAATTGCAAAATACCCCTGAAAGTCCAGGTATATGCTGAAATACCCAGAGTAGTCATGCCGACGGTATATACAGGGTCACCAGCCCGTACGTACGGAGGTCCCCGGGCAGACCTCCGTGCGTACGGGTGTTCGGGGTCCCGTACGGGGTCCGAATCCGACGGCGTTGGGCCCCCGCCAAAAATTATTTCGGGGCCTAAAAATATATTTTTTTTCTGATTGTTTTTTTGTGAGTTCTCTATGACATGAGGTACATGCCTTTAAATTTTCAAGTTATTTGGATTTGTCAAATAAGAATTAAAAATCGCCAAAGATGGCGGTGTCAAAACGTGCTCGCCCACGTTTTTTTTCACTTCTTACTTTCTGTTTTCACTTTAGTTCGGGGTCTAAACAATTTTATTATTTTTTGAAACTTTTTTAGTGGGTTTTGTATTATGTGAAGTACGCATCTGTAAATTTTCAGGGTATTTAGCTATGCCAAAAAAAAAAAGAAAAATCGCCAAAGATGGCGGTGTCGAAAACATGCTCGCACACTCACTAAATTTAATTCTGTTTTTATTTTTATTTATTTT